TTCCAATGGGAGGTGTTACCATTCGGAACAACGTGCAGCCCCTGTTGTGCAGTCTTTGCCCTGCAGCAGCACGTCAGAGATCACGAACCACCAGATTCTCCTCTCATGCATGTGATCGAGCACTCGTTCTATGTCGACAATTGCCTCCACAGTGTGAGTAAAACTGAGTATGCGAAGGTTCTAGTCGATGATCTGCGAGCGCTTCTGAACAAAGGAGGTTTCGAGATCCGGCAATGGGCTAGTAACATGCCTGAAGTTGTAGCACATCTACCTCCTGAAGCGCAGTCAGCTAGCAGTGAGCTATGGCTATCCAAGGCCAGTGACAACCTTCAAGAGCCCACGCTTGGACTCTGCTGGGATTGTTTGAATGATACCCTGAGTTACAAACATCGCCAGGCTGAATCTTCAGACGCTACTCTGCGTAACGTCTACAGTGTCCTTGCCAAGCTTTACGACCCATTGGGATACATTGTGCCATTCACAACAAGATGTAAAGTGCTTGTTCAGGATATGTGGAAGGCCAATATTGGCTGGGACGACAAGATCCAACCCGCTGACCTTCTGGAGAAATGGTTAAGTTGGGTGCAGGAAATTCCCACTTTGCAACATCTCAAGCTGCCTCGTCCATATGCACCAGCCATCGCCGATACTGCCAACGCAACCCGTCACATTCACATATTCTGTGATGCCTCGGAGCGCGCCTATGGATCAGTAGCCTACATGCAGACGACAGATGACAGTCAGCAAGTCTATGTTTCCTTCGTGTTTGCTAGATCGAGAGTCGCACCCCGTAAGCAGCTGTCTATTCCGCGGCTCGAGCTCAGTGCCGCACTTACAGGCGCACAGTTGGCTAGAGTGATCGAGACAGAGCTTGCAGTACCATCTGAGCACATCACTCTTTGGTCAGACTCCACAACTGTGCTGCACTGGATCAAATCAGAATCCTGCCGTTACAAAGTGTTTGTGGGAACACGTATCGCGGAAATCCAGAACCTGACCAACCCTGTTCAATGGCGGTATGTTGACACTCTAAGTAATCCAGCTGATGATATAACCCGTGGACTCACTCTGCAAGAGATGGTACAGGATCATCGCTGGAAAAAAGGTCCACATTTTCTCCATTTGTCTGAAAGGGAGTGGCCCCACATGCCCTCATTTGAGCTAGAACCAGACACCACAGAGTTTAGGAAGTCTGCCTTTGTGGGAACTGTGTCCAGCATCTTGGCCACACAACTTCCGGACCCCAGTAAGTTCTCCAACTGGAAAGAGCTTCTTAAGGAAACTGCCAGCTCCTTTCACGGGGCGGCTGATGCTAATACTACAGTACACTTTTCCGCTGCCGATTTTCTGCAAGCAGAGAAGCTAATGTTACAAAAGGCTCAAGAGGACTGCTTTGCTGAAGAATTGAGAGCTCTCAAAGCTGGACGTACTCTTCCTTCAGACAGTCGTCTCGCATCTCTGTCACCAGAATATGAAGGAGCCACGGAGCTACTCAAAGTTGGTGGCAGGTTAAGGCATGCTGAAGGACTAGACCTGGATACCATCCACCCAGTTATCCTGGACCCAAGCCATCAGGTGACAAAGCTTATCATCAAGGATTTTGATGAGTCACTACTGCACCCTGGACCAGAGCGGGTTCTTGCCGAGATCAGACGCAGGTTTTGGATTATCCGTGGTAGAGAGGCCATTCGAAAGTATCAGCATTCATGTCTGGAGTGCCGACGATGGAGAGCAAAACCTGACGTACCGAAGATGGCAGATTATCCACCAGCTCGGTTACGTCTCCATAAGCCACCGTTCTATTCAACCGGAGTTGATTGTTTCGGACCTTTCCAAGTGAGGATCGGGCGTCGCACCGAAAAAAGGTGGGGCATTGTCTACAAATGTATGACAACTCGCTCGGTGCATCTGGATCTATTAGAAAGCCTCGATACAGATGCTTTCCTGCTGTCACTGAGAAGATTCATCTCTCGACGTGGCAGACCGTTCGAACTCCTCATGGACAATGGTACCAACTTTGTCGGTGGAGAGAGAGAGTTGCGTGAAGCCGTTGCTGCCATGGCACCTCAGTGGAAAGAACAACTCGCTGAACAGCAGATATCCTTCCGATTCAATCCTCCAAGTGCGCCACACTTTGGTGGCACATGGGAGAGGGAAGTGAAGTCTATCAAGACTGCACTTCGCGTTGTCCTCAAAAATCAGACTGTTCCTGAACCTGTCCTGATGACAATTCTAGTGGAAGTCGAGGGCATAATGAATGCGAAACCCTTAGGCTACTTGGCATCAGATGCTTCTGATCCAGACCCGGTCACGCCTAACCTCCTCCTCATGGGCCGTCACGACTCGTCGCTTCCTCAAGCAGTTTACGACCCCAGTGACCTCGGGAGAAGACGTTGGAGGCACAGTCAAGTCATTGCCGATCGCTTCTGGTCATCCTTCATCAGCCACTACCTACCAGGACTACAAGAGCGTAGTAAGTGGAGGAAAGACAGTAAGCCACTCTCCATAGGCGATGTTGTTTTAATCGTGGATCCCCAACTTCCTCGAGCGTCATGGCCCGTAGGACGGATTACCCAGACTCATCCAGGAGCAGATGGACGCGTACGGACTATCAGTGTTCAAGTGAAGGACCGTACCTACATTCGTCCAGTCGCCCGGATCATCCTGCTCCCAGCTCTGGAGGACAAGGACGAAGAAGAGACGACCAAATAGACTTTCTCCTACTCTTTCAACTGCCATGCGGACAGTTGGGGGCGGCTTTGTCTGAAAGCCTATTTGTTCAGCGCTGAGGTTTCCTAAGTGCGTTCGAACGCTCCATCACGTGAACTGCGCCTGGACAGAAAATCCAACGCGCGCGCCTCAGTTGTTCGCGCTCAGTGATGATGAGAGGAGACTCAGAGACCCCTTTCTTTACGTTTGTGTGCGTTTTATGAAAAACAAGTAAGTTCCTACTATTGTTGTATGTTTATACTGCGTTGTAAGGAATGTTGTGAAATTTATGTATGTTCATGCGAACTAGTTTTATTTGTTGAACTGCGTGACTAATTAGTGTAGTCATGATACCAGAGCGTGCTGTAATATTCGACATGTTTCCTGTGTGAAATAATTAGCCCTCTATATGTCAATTTAGACCTTATTTGTGTTAGTTATTTAGAAATATGCTTCTGCGTTCGAGTGCAGTGTATTTATACTGTTTATTTGGTGCTATCTGCATCGAGTGTTATAGTGATATAGTGTCATTCTGCATAGCCACTTAAAGGTGCATCAGTACAGATATTAAAGGCATATGGTGACATATTCTGTTACACTGGATTAATGTTAATGATTATTTTCTGTACTGTACCGTTGTGAATGATGACAATGAGCATAGTATAGTATTCCTTTATTTGTTTATTAATCGGTTATTATTACCATTGTATTATTTCTTTTTCTTTCTCTCTGTTTAGACCACATACACTCAATTATACGAACTTGTATATTGGCATCCTGATCTTGGAAATAAAGATGATAAAGGATTCTCTGGCCGGAATCTTTCTGTAGTGTTCCCATCCTAAAAAGAACCACTAGTCCATACTTTACAGTGATGGTTAACAGTAACACTAGTGTAGTGATGGTTAACAGTAGCACTAGTTTAGTGATGGTTAACAGTAGCACTAGTTTAGTGATGGTTAACAGTAGCACTAGTTTAGTGATGGTTAACAGTAGCACTAGTTTAGTGATGGTTAACAGTAGCACTAGTTTAGTGATGGTTAACAGTAGCACTAGTTTAGTGATGGTTAACAGTAGCACTAGTTTAGTGATGGTTAACAGTAGCACTAGTTTACAGTAGCACTTGTTTAGTGATGATTACCTGAAGCACTAGTTTAGTGATGGTTAACAGTAGCACTAGTTTACAGTAGCACTAGTTTAGTGATGATTACCTGAAGCACTAGTTTAGTGATGATTAATAATAGCATTAGTTAGCCATTGCTGTATAAGAAAAGTGTTTCGGATCAGTCACTTATGATTAGTTGTGATTAGAGCTGCTTTAGATTGTTCCTCATTAAGTGTTTACACACAAAACAGACACTGTAACTGTTGAGAGGATGGTTTCAAGTCTGAGCTACTAATCCAAAGGTTCCAGCAGGTTTAAGTCCCTGTTAGCGGCTGCTAACAATCCTGGTTTTGTCCGGATGCTTTGAGAGAGATCTATTATCATTTTCACTTGCAGAAGGAGATTTTGATGTTCAAATTTCTGTTTTAATTTCCATAAAAACAAACTATGCTTGAAGCTCTCCAGTAACCACAAATGTTACTGTAATTTTATGATATTGCAAGTTACCTACAACCCGTAACTAAATGAAATGATATGAGATTATACACAGCTCGAAACTATCCATTAGTCGAAATCACTTTGACCTTTATTTTGCATTGGGATTACAGTAATCTGCACATATTAACATTATACATTACTGCTCAGACATTGTGGGTTTATGTATTGTTATTGTTGGTGTAGAAATCACTATATCCCAATATATCATGATTTACTCTAAATTTGGTTAAGGGATTTATCTGACAAAATTATTTGACAAAAAAGGCAAAATACAGCTACAGGTTTTATTATGCAAATAAAAAAATGCATAGAAAAAAAAAGCTGACAGAAAAAAGCAACATAATCAGTTATTAATATTTTGTTGGTTCTCTCTTGCATGTGTTCGTAATTTCTTTGTTTGATTGCCGGCACAATTTGTAATGTTTCATTGCATTATTATCACAAATAAAACAATCGACTCCAAGCACAATTGCACTTACAAAATCTTTTAATAATATTTAAATAAATGGTGAAGATGTGCATTTTCCTTGTCCGGACATCACTTTTGGCCCTATATAATAACAATATGATTTCATATAATAAAAATACTATGCACTTATGCAGAGGTAGAATGGTTTTGTTATGAGGATATTGCAGATGTGTGTGTGTGTGTGTGTGTGTGTGTGTGTGTGTGTGTGTGTGTGTGTGTGTGTGTGTGATCAGAATAATCCGTGTAACCCTTTAGTGGCCGTGGAGGCTCCAGCTCCTCCATCTGCTGCAGTGACTTGTTTATTTCTAGGATTTCTCTGAACAGGATCGAGTCTCCTTTAAATATCTCCGGTGTTTTATGCATGAGACGGATGTGAGCGCAGATGTTTACAGCTAAACGCCCATATTCGACGTTTATCTGCACATGGCAGCGGCCGGTGCTGATGAGAGACTCCGCGGATCCCGGATCTTCATCATCATCATCAGCATCTGAAACGATGCAGCTCACTTCCATCATGTTCCTTCTCCGTGTGTGAATCGCAGTGTTTTCTGGGCTGAGATGGTTCGGGTCGTCAGTGTTCTGGGTCTGGTGATGTTCAGCGTCGCTTTGCTCATTTTGTCATTGATCAGTTACGTGTCCATCAAGAAAGACTTCATCTTCACCGGCCCGAAATACGCCAACGGCGGCGGTCCGCGGATGTACATGTTTCACGCGGGGTTTCGGTGAGTGAACACGTGATTTATCACATACATTCATTAAAAATCTCATAACGGGGTTGTTTATTTTTTTTAAAAATCAAAAGGGCAGCGTTTCCAACGCGCATGCGGGTAAATAAGCGTGTGTTTTGATCACATTTTTTGGTAAGGCCTCTTGTCCTTCTGTCATGATGCTCAGTGCGCATGCGCAGTTCAGTCCTGGATCATGAAGATGGACTAACCTACATTCTCATATTTCACAGAGTAATGATTTCTGAACAGTCAGCTGGCTGCATTCATATTCTATTACGTCATGCATTCTATTCTAACGCATATTCTTTATTGGCATCTATGGTTTCATAATAAACATCTACACTCTTATATATAAAAAAGGTGCTATATAGAACTTTAGGGTTCTTGGTTAAAATTTTAACAACCGTTTATGACAAAAAGGTTCTAAATAAGGAGAAATGTCTTAAATAATTGCATAATACTTTCATATTTAATGGGTTATTTTTTTCTAGTGATGTTTATGAGGTGTTTAATTCATAACATTTAATTAAATTTTAAAAATTAAGTAATTAAAACTAAATCCATAAAATGATCCATGATGGAACTCCTAAAAGGTTCTACAAATGAAACGCCTGACGGAACCCTTAACATTCCATTTAGAACCTTTATTTTTAAGAGTGATACACATTTAAAAATAAAGGTTCTTTATTGGCACCGATGGTTCCATGAAGAACCTTTAACATCCACAGAACCTTTTAGCTTCTTTATAATTGAAAAATGTTCTTTAAAATATTAAAATGTTCTTCACATCAAGAAAAGGGCTCTTTTAAGAAAGTTTAAACTAAGGAATAAACTACTTTACATTTGATTAATGCATCATTCCTTAGTCTAACTTGCTGACCATCAAGAATATGTTTTTTAAAAATACTTGCATCCCAATTATGTACAAAATTCTCACTACTTAGCCTTTTGGCTGAAATCAAATATGTGCACAGAAGTGCATGTTTTTTGATGAGTGTTATGTGAATAACTATGTTGTACATAAACACTCATTGTTAAAGTGCAACCAAAGTCCAGTTTTAATGTTGTGTTTGATTGAAACTGAAGGATCGAGGCCCTGAGCGCTGTCCTTGGTCCTGATTTACTCCTCTGGCAGTTTCATTTCCAGTCAGTAATCAGACGCTTTTGCTACAGTCAAGGTTACATAGCAGGAGTTATTTTGATCCAGCACTCTTGTATGACCATATGTTATTCATCAGCGGTTCGTCATTTGAACTTCCGCCAGGGAAGAGAGAAAAGGCCAAAACTAGCAGAAGTGCCTTCAAATGTGTTTTAAGTTACAGTTCAGATTAGATAATAGTGTACGAGAGGCTTGATTTGAATTACTTAACAAGTTTGATTTTAATCATTTCAGTGTGTAAGTGATTGCACATGCCAACAGGTTTACAGCAAATGTCTGATCTATGCTCTTGTTCAAAGTCTTGATTGTGTTTTAGTCTCTACTAGAACAGGTTTTCTGCTTAAATGTTGATTATTCTCCTCATATTCTCCATTGTTGCGGCTCCTCTCTTCCCAGTCTGGCAGTAACGCTCTGTTTACTTCCTGTCTCTATGAAGCCCCTCCTTCTGAAAAGCACACTGTGCTCTGATTGGTCGGCTGGATCAGTGTGCTGTGATTGGTCGAGCGCTTCGAGTGTGTTTGGGAAAGTCCCGCCCCTTTCCATAACCACTAGTTTAACACACTACTGACTAACTCAACCAGGCCCCGCCCCTTTATTCTGCGCATTAATTATTATAATGAGGAATATTGTGACGTGTTCGTTCCCGGAAGAATCTCGAGACTACAATGGAGGCGTTTCAGGAGTTCAGAAACACTGACACTGATATACAGAAGAACTCCCGCTGGAGGCACTTAATTACATCTAAATAGCAATATTTAAAATATATATATAATAAAATGCCAAAAGCACATAACAAAATGACAAAAAAGTTGACTAAAATTAACTTGTAAACTAAAAATATAAAAATAAAACCTCGTAAAAATATGTTAACAACGTCCTAACTCATGCTAGAAACATGCTGGAATATGTAACATAATGCTAACAACATTAGCAATGTGTTAAATCATGCTAATAATATGTTAAATAATACTAGCAACATGTTAAAACATGCTAGAAAATGCAAACAATTCAGCAATAATGCAAGCAACATGTTAATAAATAATGTTTGAAACATGCTAACAATGCTAAATAATCCTAAGAACATGTTAACAATGTTAAATTACGCTAGAAACATGCTAAATCATGCTAGCAAATGTAATGCATGCTATGAAAATGCTAAATCATGTTTGAAACATGCTAATAATTAACTAATTAATGCTAGCAAAATGCTAACACATGTAAACAATGTTAAATTATGCTAGAAACATGCTAAATCATGCTAGCAAATGTAATGCATGCTATGAAAATGCTAAATCATGTTTGAAACATGCTAATAATTAATGCTAGCAAAATGCTAACACATGTTAACAATGTTAAATTATGCTAGAAACATGTTAAATCATGCTAGCAAATGTAATGCATGCTATGAAAATGCTAAATCATATTTGAAACATGCTAATAATTAACTAATTAATGCTAGCAAAATGCTAACACATGTAAACAATGTTAAATTATGCTAGAAACATGCTAAATCATGCCAGCAAATGTTAATGCATGCTATGAAAATGCTAAATCATGTTTGAAACATGCTAATAATTAACTAATTAATGCTAGCAAAATGCTAACACATGTAAACAATGTTAAATGATGCTAGAAACATGCTAAATCATGCCAGCAAATGTTAATGCATGCTATGAAAATGCTAAATCATGTCTGAAACATGCTAACAATGCACTAAATAATGCTACCAACATGCTAAAAAAAAATTAATTATGCTAGAAACATGCAAAGTAATGCTAGCAAACGTTATTGTATGCTAATAATATGATAAATCATGCTAGCAAATGTGATAAATCATGCATCAATCCAAAATTCAAACCAAAAACCATTCAAAATTAAAACCTTAAAACCTAAAGCTGATAAAACTACTTCAAACTTTCTTTGTCTACAAACTTTACTCTTAAAAATAAACGCTCTTCGTTGGCATTGCTGATTCCATGAAGAACCTGTAACATCCATTTAATCTTTCCATTTCACAAAAGGGTTTTTAAAAGAAAAAATGCTTCTTTTAAGAACTGATCACTGAAAGGTTCTTTGGGGAACCAAAAATGGTTCTTCTATGGGATCGCTAAAAAAAAGGAGTGTATGAATTGATTGAGTTTTACTGGGAGTGACTTGAGTCGTCCTGTAAACCAACACTGTAACGCTCTGACCTCTGAGGCCGTAACCCAGACTCAGATAATGAAACGGAACAAGCTTTAACAAACGAGAGTGAGAAAACGAGCAGGCGTGGAGTCTAAAAGAGGCTGTTTAATTAGAGCGGGCATCGACTGCCCCGGGCGGGACGTGACTGACAGGACTCTGGATGGGTCCGATTGATTGGGACCACTTTCAGCATCTGCCATCAGCGGGACGTCGGGATCTGCTGGAACAGAAACTGTGTTTTCATTTCCTCTGTCTGTCCATCTTCTCGTCAGGTCCCAACTTGCAATGAAGTTCCTGGATCCTGCGTTCACGTCCCTGAATAATGCCCTCAACGAGAACATACAGGAGTCCAGCAACTGGAGGTTTAACAAGAGCGCTTATTTAGAGCAAAGGTGAACGTCAAACACACACTCACACACACACACACACACACATAATAATGAACGGTAGGTTAGGTAGATGCAAATGTTAACAATACACACTATCGGCAGAGGTTTCTCTGCTCACCAAGGCTGCATTTATCTGTTACAGTAAAATCAGCAAAATTGTGAAATATTAATACGGTTTTCTATGTGAATATATAGTAAAGTGTAATTTATTCCTGTGAATTTTCAGCATCATTACTCCAGTCTTCAGTGTCACATGATCCTTCTAATATGATAGTCTTTATTTCCTTAGTTAGAATGATTATTCAAACTTTATGGTTATAGTTATCATTCTTAATGTATCATTCTAATATATTTAAATCAAAAAAAAATTGTTTTTTAAATGTTTATAAAACATCAACTCACGTTTATGTAATATTAAATATTAATATATGTTACTATTTATATATTTAGTTTTGTATATGATTCATATTTTCAATCTATTTTAAAACAGTAATTTTATTAAAACTTTATGGTTATAGTTATTGTTCTTGATGTTTGTTTATTTTAAAGCATTTAGTTTTAAAATATGGTTAATAAAGTTTAATATTATTACTATTATTAATAAATGTATCAAATCAAATGTCAAAATTTATGAAGACATTATTTTTTTAAAAGAATGAAAACCCATTAACTCACATGTGTATGTAATATTTAATATAAAAAATAGGCCTAGTAGTATTTTTAATAGTAATATTATTTAAACGTAATGTTATTGTTGTCGTTCTTGATAGATGTTTATTTTTATTCTGATTTTAGTTTTTTAATGTTTAATATTATTCATATTCATATTCAAAAACAATATATATAAAAATTAAAACACTATTAAAAATGTTTTTTAAAATAACCGAATTTTATAAAACCAACTCTCACATGGTAAATGTTTTTCAATGTTTAATATTATTAATATTTTTCAAAGCATTTTTTACTAAATTATTTAACAAATTTTTAAACACTATTTAAAAAAACTAATTTAAAAAAACCATCAACTCATATTTTAAACATTTATATTACAGTTATCATTCTTGTTATTTATTTAATTATTTTAGTTTTTAGCATTAGTATTTATTTTAGTTTTTTAATGTTTAATATTATAAATATTTTACAAAGAAAATAAAAAAACATCAACTCTCACATGTGTATTTAATATTTAATATAAAAAACATGAATATTTTGAATAGTAATATTATTTAAATGTTATAGTTATCGTTCTTATTTAATTATTCTAAGAGTTTAGTTTTTTATGTTTAATATTATTAATATCAATAAATGTTTGAAATCAAATATCAACATTTTTTGAAAACAGTATTTTTTTATACAATGTCAACTCTCACATATTTTAAGTAGTTATGTTATTTAAACGTTATGGTTATGGATATTCTAGTTTTGAACGGGCCTAAAATCTCTCTTAAAACAGCTGCTAATCCATTTACTTGTGTTGCGTCTTTCTGATTCTGTTCACTTCACTCTGATGTTGTTGCGTGTGTTTTCCAGTAAAGAGATCGGTCAGTACATTGACGTCCCGCACAACTTCACCCTGACCAAGAGCAGTGTTCGTGTGGGTCAGTTAATGCACTACGACTACTCCAGTCACAAATACGTGTTCTCCATCGGCGAGAACCTCAGGTCTTTGCTTCCGGACTCGTCCCCGGTCCTCAACAAGCGCTACAACACCTGCGCTGTGGTGGGAAACAGTGGGATCCTCACCGGAAGCCGCTGTGGCCCCGAAATCGACAAGTATGACTTTGTTTTCCGCTGCAACTTCGCGCCCACCGAGGTCTTCCGTCGAGACGTGGGCCGTCGGACCAACCTCACCACCTTCAACCCCAGTATTCTGGAGAAATACTACAACAACCTGCTGACCATCCAGGACAGGAACAATTTCTTCTTGAGTCTGAAGAAGCTGGACGGCGCGATCCTGTGGATCCCAGCCTTTTTCTTCCACACGTCGGCCACTGTCACACGCACACTCGTAGATTTCTTCGTAGAGCACAAGGGGCAGCTGAAAGTGCAGCTAGCCTGGCCGGGAAACATTATGCAGTATGTGAACAGGTAAGAGTTTTTGTATGTCTGTCTGGACCTGTTTAAGCTTCATTTGAGAATCACACTTCTAAAAACACCATGGTATAAAAAAAAATGTAAAAGTTAATTGTGACTTTTTTTGTGAAAAAAGTCAAAATTACGAGATGTAAACTCAAAATTCTGAGAAAAAAGTCAAAATTGCGAGATGTAAACTCAAAATTCTGAGAAAAAAGTCAAAATTGCAAAAATAAACTCAAAATTTGGAGAGAAAAAAAGTCAAAATTGCGAGATGTAAACTCAAAATTCTGAGAAAAAAGTCAAAATTGCGAGATGTAAACTCAAAATTCTGAGAAAAAAGTCAAAATTGCGAGATGTAAACTCAAAATTCTGAGTAAAAAGTCAAAATTGCGAGATGTAAACTCAAAATTCTGAGAAGAAAGTCAGAATTGTGAGATGTAAACTCAATTCGGAGAATAAAGTCAGAATTGCAAAAATAAACTCAAAATTCTGAGAAAAAAGTCAAAATTGCTCAAATAAACTCAAAATTCTGAGAAAAAAAGTCAAAATTGCAAAAATAAACTCAAAATTCTGAGAAGAAAGTCAGAATTGCAAGATGTAAACTCAAAATTTGGAGAAAAAAGTCAAAATTGCAAAAATAAACTCAAAATTTGGAGAAAAAAGTCAAAATTGCACAAATAAACTCAAAATTCTGAGAAAAAAGTCAAAATTACGAGATGTAAACTGTATCTTTGGGACATGGTACCAAGCAGAAAATGAGATTATGTAAACAAACAGAGAGCGAGTGAGAGTGGCTCGGTTTAACCCTTCGTTGTCCGGTAATCTTCTGCAATCCCAGTAACAGGGTTCTACGCTAAGGTTTTTCCCAAGGAGCACATGTGCTCCTAAATGAAAAAATGTAGGAGCACACAAAGAAATTTTGGACCGCAGTGAAAAACAGTAACAAGTAATAACAAACTATTTATTATATATACACTACGTGTGTGCTCCTTCTCTTTGTGTTCAACTATAGTGTGAAACCGTCGATTTGATGCAGAAGTATAAATCACACTTTACAATCACTTTAGTAAAACAGAACAAGGGGAACGTGTTGCTCTCAGGAGGAGGCTAGGAGCACATTGGCACACCTGTGCAGTGGACATCTGCATCTTTCCACTGCAGAGGCTCTTTCCACAACATGGAGGAGAAACTAGTTTAGAGTGTATTAGTATTTACTAGTATTAGTATCTACTGTAGATTTAGTCGACTAAAATCTTATTGTATTTCGTCGAATAAAACTAACACAATTCAGATGACTAAAATATAATGGGTTTAGTTCAATTGTAATGCATTAATTTAGAATTTCTCTAAAATGTCCAAACCCATATACTCCCAGAGAAAACATCTATTAACCTGTTAATATGAATGATTGTAAAGTTTGAACATGCAATACAGATACAGATTTAACTACTGTGACTTAAAAAAATATCTTAAAATCAAATAAAACCACTTTTCCTAAAGTAGAATAGTCTTCTTTTCAATGAATGCTCAAGTAACGAGCAGTGAATGCTATTATTTTTTTCTTTTGTTGCTTGATGACACAGACCGCATTAGGTTTATTACCCACTGTCACTTTAAGACATCGGATCATGTCCAATGACTTGCGGATCCAATTGCACTGATGCACATCCGACACACTCAAAACTGTTTAAGACATAACCAACATAGTTTACGTGAATACTCTCCAAAATGGACATTACGACATAATGTTGTGTGCATTAGTCCATTCAGACACGAAAGAGAGCTCAGTTCAGTCCTCGCGCGCTGTGTGTTGTTGTTGTGTGTGTGTGTGTGTGTGTGTGTGTGTGTGTGTGTGTGTGTGTGTGTGTGTGTGTGTGTGTGCATGGCTGCGCGCTTCGGGTCGGGTGTGCGCAGAAAACCGAACCAAATAGAGCTCTTTTTTTTGCGTCGTCACTCTTATTCAGATCTATGTGTCTGCTCTACTAATTCTCCCAGACATTTACATTTTTTAACGTTTGATGAGATGCAGCGCATGTCAACCCGTGTGCCGCTGTGTAGATCAGCAGGTTACAGTACAAATATGCGCATCTACCACAAACGCAGGACATCAGTTCTGGATCGTCACTATCTAACATTTTTGTCTAGTTTTTATTTGTTGACGAAAATGTCAATAGATTTTCGTCATAGTTTTTGTCATTCAAAACTAGTTTTTATTTAGTTATCGTCTCGTTTTCGATTATGGTAGGTTACTCGCACATTGTGCTCGTAAATCTTTTTTCCGGTTCGCACGTATCGATTTTTAGGGGTATATGCGAGCAAAATGGTCGCATTGTAGAGCCCTGAGTAAAGCGAGTCGCTGTGTCCGATCGGATCAAACCCCGGAAGACGATCACAAGCGAAACACAAGAAGTCTAATGGATACTCCGTCTAACAGTCACTGGCGAAAAAAGGATCTCCATCATTGCATATACATGTTTTAATTATAATTTTTTAAAGAATAATATAATCAGAACATTTTGTCATTTGTTTTGATATAAAAATGTATTAATATTAATAAATTGTATTAATAGGATTCATATTAAATGATTAATATTACAAATCATTTTAAAACCAAATCTTTAAAACAAGTAAATAAATAATTAGTAGAAAATAATTCAAACTTTTTTTTTATAATTTCTGAAACTCTTTTAAAAATACTAAAATACGTAAACAAACAAACAAAAAATTAATTAACTTAAACTTTACTATATATTCACACAGAAAACAGCTGTTTAAAATTCTAATAATAATTCTAATTCACTATTTTACTCTATTATTGATCAAATTAATGCAGCCTTGATGAGCAGAAAAGACCTTTCAAAAACTGAAAAAATCTGGCGATCCCAAACTCATTACAAGCTCAGAACAATTTTACCATCTAGACATGTTCAAAATTATTTTAACACACACACACACACACACACACACACACAGGTCAGCCTGTAGTCCAAGTGTTTTTCACTGTTCACCAGCGCAGTGACTCTATTAGAGATGGTGGCTGAACTAACCTTGCTCTGAGCGAATGAACCTCTGAACACACACACACACACACACACACTCTCAGCTGACCTTCATGGATGTGTTGTCACCATTTTCCTGCAGACACATGTGCCACTTTGGGTGAAACGCATTAGTGTTTCCCGGGGGTTTATGGGTAAACGCTGTCGAATGTGTATGCAGTGGTTCACCGCTGTTAAATATAGGAGGATATTTCTCTGAATCACAATTCATTTAAAGCTGGAGTTCTGTGTTGGAAGGGCCTTGCAGGGACGATCACAGAGGGTTTGTGGGGCGGAGCAGCAGAGCGTACTGAACACATGTTGATGACTGTCCATGGTTTTACCTAAATATCACATAAACACGCCCAGGTCAAAATTATATATACACTATAGTGTTCAAAGGTTTGGGGTCAGTACAATTTTTTTAAACGCTTTGAAAGAGTCTCTTCTGCTCACCAAAGCTGCATTTATTTGATAAAAAAATAGAGTAAAAGAGTAGCCTGATTTCGTCATACTCAGATGCTAGTCAGACTGTGAGTCTGATGCTGCTCCATTGGGCTGTGATTATGGGGTGTTTCAACCGAACCAGGGAAGAAAATGCCTCTGCACTCAATTGGATCGACCGAGTCCCGCAGGAAGGACGGCAACAACATCTTTCCGATCGACAAATGCCTTGATCGTGGTTCTGTTCCTCTTTTAAAATGAATGCGCTGTCTACATCTTCTATAGCAGACGCTATGGCTGAATCTACACATCTCAGTTCTCCAGCGGCGGCCATCTTTGTCGTAAACAAATTCAAACCAAGCGCTTTTTGGTGACGTGGACGATTACGTTACGGTTGATCATCTGTCCATCATCGTATAAAGCCAGTCTTTAAAATAAGTAAATAAATAATTAGTAGAAAATAATTCAAACTTTATTTTTTATAATTTCTGAAACTCTTTTAAAAATGCTAAATTACGTAAAACAAACAAACAAAAAAATTTATAACTTATACTTTACTATATATTCACACAGAAAACAGCTGTTTAAAATTCTAATAATAATTCTAATTCACTATTTTACTCTATTGTTGATCAAATAAATGCAGTCTTGATGAGCTTGAGAGTGGCCTTTTATTGTGGACAGCCCTAAGGCACACCTGTGCAATAATCCTGCTGTCTAATCCGCATCTTGATATGCCACACCTGTGAGGTGATGGATCATCTCTCCAAAGGAGAAGTGCTCACTAACACAGATTTAGACAGATTTGTGAACAATATTTGAGAGAAATAGGCCTTTTGTGTGCATAGAAAAAGTCTTCGATCTTTGAGTTCAGCTCATGAAAAATGGGGGCAAAAACAAAAGTGTTGCGTTTATCATTTTGTTCAATGTATATATATACATACTAATTCTATTGAAATTCCACCAATGTGGAATTGTATATATATATGTTTGGAGCAAAATTATATTTTCTGAAATATTTTCATTTTATGACATTATGATAATTTACATAATACTTCATGTATATAAATAAATAATTTACGTCAGCAGCGGCACTGAACGCGGATCCACAACAGAACCGGAACACAATACAATGCTGAATAAAGTCCTAGTTTTGGTTATTTTTGGACCAAAATGTATTTTCGATGTTTCAAAACACTCTAACTAACCCACTGATGTCACATGGACTACTTTGATGATGTCTTTATTTCCTTTCTGGACAAGGACAGTATACCGTACATACATTTACAATGGAGGGACAGAAAGCTCTCGGACTAAATCTAAAATATCTTAAACTGTGTTCTGAAGATGAACGGAGGTCTGACGGGCTTGGGACGACATGAGGGCGAGTCATTAATGACATCATTTTTGGGGGAACTAACCCTTTAAATCAGAACTGAATGTAAAAAAAAAACAAAGCAAACGATATTTTCCTCTTGTTTGTGTGCAGGTACTGGAAAACGAAGGCTCTGTCTCCGAAGCGTCTGAGCACGGGGATCCTCATGTTCACGCTGGCCTCGTCCCTGTGTGATCAGGTGCACCTGTACGGGTTCTGGCCCTTCGGCTGGGACCCCAACACCGGGAAGGAGCTGCCGTACCATTACTACGACAAGAAGGGCACCAAGTTCACCACTAAGTGGCAGGAGTCGCACCAGCTGCCCACCGAGTTCAAACTGCTCTTCAAGATGCACGCGGACGGCGTCCTGAAACTCAGCCTCTCCCACTGCGCCTAGAGGTCAAAGGTCAGGGTCAAAGGGTCAGCGGTCAGGACTCAGGGTCGTTTGGTCTGACTAATGGACGTTTGTGGTGATTCGAGGTTTTATTTCTGCCAACTATCGACATCAAGCTCAGATCAGTGTCAGTGATGATCAGG